ACAAAAGTTAAACAAGTACAAACCACAGACTGCCTGTGTCATGGTGAATACAGTCGCTGCTTTATTTATGTCTGTATAGGCCGTTGTTGTGAGTGTGGACGGTCGGAGCATATACTGCGTTAGCTTAGCCAATCTCCATTTAGAAAACACGCATTTTAAAAGGTTTTTCGCCTGCCGTCTGTCTGCAGACTTGACAAAGCATTAATTCATGGTTTTTATTAACCGGTATCAGTATGTTGTTACTTCGGCATCATTTTGAAACGTGTATTACAATTAAATCACGGTCAAATATGTCCATCTTGTTGTAGTTGTAGCCCCCTTGCCAGCGATGCTCTCTCTAGTTTAGCATACTCAGCCCGACTCAGCCTCGTTGTCTCTGGCCCTAGACCCGCAATTTTATGAGGCCAGAAAAACTGTGAATTAGGACCCGCCGGCCGGTACTAGGCCAAGTGGAAACGCAACCAAAGACGGGCCGCTGACGTCACAGCCCTCTTAAACCGTGCTCCGCGCTGTAGTGGAAACGCGCCATTAGACCCCCTTTACACGAGAACGAAACGGCTTGTATCTGCATAGTTTCTCTTGCGTATAGCCCTATTATTTACACGAGGCCGCAACAAAACGATAGAAACGGACCCCACAAACGATAACGGGTCCCAAGCATGGATGTATAATAAGAACTGGATACAGCGTGGGAGGCGGGGCCTCATTCATTCCTATGAGAGTTGCTCATTCGCGCATGATGATAAAATGGCCCAACTTTTGAGAGAGCGAAACGTCACAGATTACCCGGCATGCCTGAGAAGTACCCGTATGTGCGCTCATAGCGTATGCGCAACTTTAACCATGCCCCCCAAAATGCTCGTTCACATCAAGCACGTCCATTTGCGTACTCGTAACAGCACCGCACGTTCATGACAGCATGGTAATGGTTTGTTATTATGATAGATTTGATATTAACGAGGCGGCAGTTAGCAGCTAGCGGTTAGCTAGTAATTATGCTAATTTACACATCAATCGTTATGTACTTTTATATTACGCTGTAACAGGATCTAGTGATATCCAAGCAACAGAGCTTCATTTAGCATGAAAGAATTATTGCACTGTATATATATATATATATATATGTATATGTATGTATATATACATATATATATATATATGTATATATATATATATACATATATATATATATATATGTATATATATATATATGTATATGTATATATATATACATATGTATATGTATGTATATATGTCCCGTGGGTTAGATGCGCGTTCATAATGCAGAGGGAAATAGCTCTCAGAATAACGTTATTAGCACATTTTTACAACTTGAGGAACGAATGTTTTTAATAAGGGCTATACAAGTGTTCATACTGGGTAGTTTATTTAGTTTAAAAAAAATTATCCAACGATTTACAGACCACTCTTTTCCCATGTAAGTCAATGGGAAAAAGTGTTTCCGGGCCTGGCAACCAAACGGAAATGTAGTACCGCCGTTTGGCCACCACGAATATTTTCATCTGAGTCCGGCGCACTTCCTGGGGGCTTGGTCCCAAGGTGGATAGATTTGCAAACGAAACTCTCTGGGAGGTCAAACGAGTCCGTGTAATCGCCTCTATACGATAATTTCCTGAAAAAATAACGATAGCCCCACCTCTCCCCGCCTCTGCTGCTCACTGCTGTAGCATGGCCAGTAGCTACTGTCAGTAGCTACTGCTAGTGCTACTGCTACTGACCATGCTACAGATGTTAGTACAACATCTACAGCTCAACCATGCTACAGATGTTAGTGCAAAATCTACAGCTCCTCTACCACAACCATCAGCAACAAGTGGACATGGAGAATTACATGAACTACTACATGTTGCTAAATCCACCGCGGGGCATAAACAGAAGGGTAGCCATGGCAACATTGCTCCGGGGTCTTCTTCGCTGCTTTTGGTGTATTTTGTGGCGGAAGTTACAGCGCCACTTACAGTCCCGGCATATGTACTACAGCGTGTCCAGCGCTTTCGAGCGGTCTCGTGTGGAAGTACAGCGCCACTTACAGTCCCGGCATATGTACTACAGCGTTTCTAGCGGTCTCGTGTGAACAGACACGTTAAATGAAACGAATGCATGTGAACGGAAGACTTTTTTGAAAACGCATACTGTGCATAAACGCAAACGTTCCCGTGTAAAGGCAGCCTGAGTTCCCAGTGTTCTTGCCAAGTTCTGTGTTTATAATCTTTTACAATAGTTTTAACCTCCGCTATATTTAAAAGTGTCTCTTTGTTAATTGGTGGTGGCCAAACAGAAAAGTGAAATACGGTCACCTAATGTATCTGAATTTGATGACATTCAGAAATACCACATTTACCAATGACAATCATAAAGAATATAAAACATTTTAATTTGCCTTTCTTCACAATCTTTACGTTTTTCTCATAAATACTAAAAATGTTGGTTTATTTAAATATAATTAAGTAATACATTGTGTCATTTACTCGTCCTACAATGTCCTTATACCATTATTATACCAATTATTATATTGTCATAAATCTTTAATATGTAATAATATAATCTTTTTAAAATAATAATAAGCATAAAAGAAAGAAAAGCAGTTAAAAAAGTATTATAATAATTATGTAAGGGAAGTGATACTGAGTTTTGGCTCCGACCATTGAAGGCCTCACTCTCTGTGCTCTATCACGTCCGCAGATAAGCTATAAATACTGTCGCTCGTTGAGTTCAACTCCATTAGTTTCTTGTAGACTTAACCAAAAATGTCTGGACGAGGAAAAGGAGGAAATATACTAAAAAAATACTTGTGTTTCAACAGAATTAAAACTGGAAATACAAAAAAATTATACAATTGAGATGCTTAACAAACTCTGACATCAAATTATGGGAAACATTAAAAAGTAGGTTAAAATGTTTTTTCAAATTTAAATGTAGGGAACTCAATAAAGCAAAAAATATTAAATATGAATCATTAATCAAACAATACATTCATTTAAAGCAGATGAAAGTTAAAACTAAAACGGTAAAAGAAAATATATCTAAATTAAAAACTGAAATTGATCAATTAAACCAGGAATCATATAATATGCATACATCTGAAATAGATCAAAGAGGCAACGTGGCTCAAGCCATTAAAACCAACCAAAAGAAAATCCAAAGTAAATTCATCAAATGTATAAAAAATCAAGAAGGTTGTATTGTGTATAATGAAAAACAGAAACGGGAAGTGATAAGAGATTTATGTTCTGAAGCATATAAAAAAATAGACATTGAAACGGACTGTGTTGAAATTCTGTTGGGAACTATCCCTCCGTACAACATCCAAGAATTTGATTTCCTTCTCGGTGAAATTAAAAAAGACGAGGTGATCCAGGCGGTGAAAGAGCTGAATGTCGGTAAGAGCCCCGGTCCTGATGGTCTGCCCACTGAGTTTTATCAATTATTATCTGATGATGTTTTAAACTTACTGACCTCTATGTTTAATGAAGGTCTCAGCAGTGGTTGTATGGGTGACTCATTTTATGAAGGTGTCTTGTCTCTACTATATAAAAAAAATGATGAAACTGATATAGATAATTACAGACATTTAACTATTATGAATACCGATTATAAGATACTAGCAAAAATAATAATGAATAGATTAACAGATATATTAGATAAAATAATAGATAAAGAGCAAACATGTGCTATAAAAGGTCGCCTTATGTGGGACAACTTATCAATTTTAAGAGAAATCATATATAAACCAAAAAAAAGAAAAAGGTTTCTTTATTATTGGACTTGATCAAAAAAAAGCCTTCGACTATTTATCCAGAGATTATTTATGGTCGGTGATGAAGTCCTACGGATTTCCTGAAGCCTTCATAAACATGATTAAGTGTCTGTATTTTAAGTCTTGTGTCTGTGTAAATGTAAACGGTGTGTTGACAAATGCATTTAATGTTGAAAGAGGGGTTAAGCAGGGGTGCCCTCTAAGCGCAGCTCTATACGTGCTAGCCATAAATCCATTAATTAAAATAATAAACAATGACAGTTTAATATCAGGAACACCAGTTGGCCATGCGCCCAAAATAACTGCCATCGCCTATGCAGACGATGTCACTGTTATTATAAAAAACCAACAAGAAATGGATGTTCTAACAAATCACCTAAACCTATATGAATTGGCATCAGGAGCTAAATTGAACCATAACAAAACTGAAGGTGTTTGGATCGGCTCCGACGATACCAAACGCGACATCAACATTCAAGTGAAAAAAGAAATTAAAATACTTGGAATAACTATTTGTAGCGACAACTGTGCTGAACTCAATTGGGAGAACAAACTAAGAGAAGTCAAAGAACAAGTTAAACAATGGGAGAATAAAAATACAAATTATAAATCAAGAATAAACATAATAAAATCATTCATACTTAGCAAGATCCTTTTTCTAGCAAACATCTTTCCCCCATCAGCCCAAATAATTATGCAACTAAACAAACAGTGTGTCAATTTGGTGTGGGGTACAACAAGGGAGGTTACTAAACGTAATTTGTTATTTAAAAGTAGGGAATATGGAGGCCTGGGAGCCATAGACCTGGACATTAAACTAAAAATTACCTTTGTAAAAAACATCTCGGCTGCTATAAATAGGAAAGCACCTTGGGTCGAGGATGGAAAAAAGGGATGGAACAAAAGAAGAGGCAGAGCTAGAAATAGTCCATATTATAAATTAGTTTATGGTGATTTCACAACTGAAGTTCAACATTTAGGGATTGATTTGATCGGACTACAGAATAGAGTGATTTTTAAAATGGTAAATGATTTCAAATATGGAGGTTTTATAACATACAAAAACCTAAACCCTGACGAAGGTAAAGAAGTCCTGAAATTAGTGAAATGTAAACAGATATCAGAGAGCATGAGAGACGTGAGGTGGCTGATATCGGTTAACAGACTTGCCGTCAGAGCTGTTGTTTCATGGAGCTGCTATGTGAAAACTAAAACATGCCCCATGATAAACTGTGAGGAAGATGAGACCTTACAGCACCTCCTCATGGACTGCCACAGAGCCGAGGAGGTGTGGTCGCTCCTACGGGGCATCGGTTTGGAGTTCGACGTAGAATATGCCTCAATCATGTATTGTATTCTGGATGAGGGTATGGTCATAAAACACAGGGAACTTTTTCAGTTAGTAATTTGTATAACATGTATGAAAATCTGGAAGACAAGGTGCAAGATGATACTAAATCAGACGATAATAAACAGTGGCACCATCGTGAAACAAATAATCTCTGAACTAAGGAGAAGAAAAACCCTAGACAAATCCCAGACTCTGCCATGGGGCATTTTGAAGCTGTGACCGAACTAAGCCTCGCTGGAATATGGACGTTCTCTCTGTTTATGTTATTTATATATGTATGCATTGTGATTTATATGTATTATTAATGTAACTTGTGTATATCATGTACTGCCAAATAATTTAAAATAAAGTTTTATAAAAAATAAAAAAAAAATAAATAAAAGGAGGAAAGGGACTCGGCAAAGGAGGCGCTAAGCGTCACCGCAAAGTGCTCCGTGATAACATCCAGGGCATCACCAAGCCCGCCATCCGCCGTCTGGCTCGCCGCGGCGGAGTGAAGCGTATCTCCGGTCTGATCTACGAGGAGACCCGCGGTGTGCTGAAGGTGTTTCTTGAGAACGTGATCCGTGATGCCGTCACCTACACCGAGCACGCCAAGAGGAAGACCGTGACCGCCATGGATGTGGTGTACGCTCTGAAGAGGCAGGGCCGCACCCTGTACGGCTTCGGGGGATAAACTCATCTGACTGAAACACACAAAGGCTCTTTGAAGAGTCCGGGATCAAGAACACCAGCTCAAAGTAAACAGACCCACAAACCAACGGCTCTTTTAAGAGCCACACACCGTGTCAACTAAAAGCTGCCTTCCTGTTCTAATATTACGGTTTCTAGAAGGGGACACATTTAATAAAATGGGCCTAGTGATTTGTTTAGTCACAAATAGTCTCCAAATCCCGTTGTATATTTACACCTCTCGCCCCCAATTCCACTGATTTATTTATTTATATATCGTTTACCTTTCAACATAACTACTAAATGCTCAAATCTTGCATCCATAAAAAGTTCAGGTGTCTCGAATCCTCACCTATTTGACTGTTAACACGAACATCAAGTCCTTCACCAGGGCTTAGAATTAAAGAGCCACACACTCAACTATAGAGAACCTTCCTTTACTATAGAGATCATTATTGTTGATATAATAAACGGAAAACCATGATTCTGTGTATAGTAAAGTCCAAATACTACACATATTTCTATATACATGTCCTGGTACTTTACTGATGTTTGTCTACTCTGCATTATTATAGAATTGGGAGGGATGAAACGCTCTTTAATGGTCTCACATGCAGAGCACACAGTGACATGTGTTCTCTGCTTTTAACCCATCCTAGCACCAGGAGTCTAGTACTAGGCAGCTATTGTACAGCGCCCGGGGAGCAGTGGGAGTGGGGGGTTGTCCGGTGCCTTGCTCAAGGGCACCACGGCAGGGCAGGAGGTGAACTGGGACCTCTCCAAGTAGCAGTCCACACTCCATATTTTAGGTCTGGTCGGGGACTTGAACCGGCGACCCTACAGCTCCCAGTCCAAGCCCCTACTGACTGAGACACTGCCACAACACATTTGTGTATGTATTGATGTAGATAAATATATTGCCAATGTTACTGATTCGTGATACCTAAATCATTTTAGATTACATGACTTTTATATTACGTCTAGGTTTTGCTATGTTGGCAGTTATTTGGGATTCATGCACACGTCACTAATTATTCTAAAACCCTGTAGTTTACATCGTTTGGTATGTAGTCTGATTCGCCGTGTTATGTATTGAAAGTTAACATAACTAATATAATAATGTAGTTAATAGTATTTTCTGAAAAGTACAAAATCATTGAAGCGGTGCAATAAAAAATGTTTTAATAGAAACTTTGTGGGATTAAAGTCTGTGTATCTTTATCAATGATTTGTCTTTAATGAAAAGTGTCTGCAATCATCAGTTTGCTTTCACATGATGTTTCATAAAGTAAATGCTATCACTTCACACTTCTTCTCTTCCCTACTGGTTATACTACTACATGTTTTGAAGCTGTAAATGCTTTTGCATGAATTAGCTTAATCTTTAGTTTTTGGAAATATTGAATATTGCCGCTGCTAAAGAGGGAAGTGCTACCAAGTTCAGAATACACATTAGAGGCCGCTTGTTAATTAAAATACACTAATAGGTTTAGAAACATTAAAATTGTCTTTTAAATTGTATGCATTTATTTTGTATATTGTTTTAATTATTTACTTCATAGGTTTTTATATATGTTGTTTATTTTATAGTTTTATTTTGGACCACCCGTTTTAAATTGGTCTTTTAATCTTCATTGTTTTTGTCTATGCAATGATGTGAATATAGATTGCAAAGTTTCAGGATTAGTGATTCTTCATACCAAAAACGTTATATAGTTTTCCAACATTATTATATATTGCATATATGAACCCTTATAAGGAAAGTAATTGTAGCTTCAAATGTAGAGAAGAAAGAAGTGCAACATTCCTAGCATGCTCAGTGTTGATCACAAACGACAGCCAATCATGTGCGAGCAACAGCACAGTATGATTTGCATCAGGTGAATATAAAGTGAAGTCCGGAACAGCATGGAGGCATTCTTTCGGTTAAACCCCTAAAAGAGACACCATGCCTGAAGCAGCCAGCGTGAAAGCGCCCAAGAAGGGCTCCAAGAAAGCGGTCACCAAGACCGCCACCAAGACCGGCAAGAAGAGGAGAAAGTCCAGGAAGGAGAGCTACGCCATCTACGTGTACAAAGTGATGAAGCAGGTGCACCCCGACACCGGCATCTCCTCCAAGGCCATGGGCATCATGAACTGCTTCGTGAGCGACATCTTTGAGCGCATCGCCGGGGAGGCCTCCCGTCTGGCTCACTACAACAAGCGCTCCACCATCACCTCCAGGGAGATCCAGACCGCCGTCCGCCTGCTGCTCCCCGGAGAGCTGGCCAAGCACGCCGTGTCTGAGGGCACCAAGGCCGTGACCAAGTACACCAGCTCCAAGTAAACCCGACACACCGCAAACAAACGGCTCTTTTAAGAGCCACCCAACCCATCCAGAGAGCTCATCCTGTTATACTGAAACTACCAGAAATGAAAGTAATTTATTACACTAATGTTGCTCACGTTATTTATACAGAATGCTTGGAAAGAGCCACCCACCACTCGATCAACTATAACGGGGCTTGTCAAACTCCGGACCAAGGTCCGGATCCGGACCGAACCCTGTGTCCCATTATTTAAAAAAAAAAAAAAATTCTGATTCTGATAAATTAATGTACATCATTGTGTACGCGCGTCTTGTGTCTGACGCATTGTGAGAATGAACGTGCATATATATTTACTTGTGTGCGCGAGCGTGACACGCATTGCAGACCGCAAGTTAACCGTAAGTTTACCTTGACTTTCTAATGCTTCTAATGCCTTTTTTGCCGAGGTTCAAGGCATTGGCTAGACAAACAGTGCAGTTTCTCCCACTAGTTCAAGCCATCATACTGTATGTATGTATTGAATGTGTGTGTGTATATTACAGGGGCGCCGTTTGCCGACAGGCAAGGCAGGCAAGTGCTTGGACCAGAAGGGGGCCCCCAAAGAAGGTAGATTAAGAAGGTCCACAGCAACGACAACATGAACCACCCTTTAATTTACTGCAACGACATGTCGGGAAACCCCCTCAAGGGGGCCCCATGCATAGAGCGCCGTAAGAAACATTTTCTTAATTTCAGTTTCGTTGCTCTGCTCCGGGGGGGGGTGACTTTACTGGCATTGATCCGGACCAGTGACCTTGTATAAAGTTCGCAAGTGGACCTTTAATAAAAAAGTTTGAGTACCCCTGAACTATAAGATCCCTTCCTGTTCTAATATTACCAGTTTATGTTTTCTAGAAAGAGACACACTTCATCAAATGGTCCTTGTGCTTTGCTCAGTCATAAACATCAGAGGATAAGTCCCACCTCAGTATATCTAAATATTATTCACATGGCATCCTAAATATAGTTTTTATTCATGACCATTGTTTACAACTCTAAAATACTAAAAAAACAATCCAAGTAATGTCTGAAATAATCAAGTACTCTCACAAATGTGAATATTTACTAAATTCCTGCATTTATATAAAAAGTTGTCCCAAAATAAATTGTTAAATTTCACAACAATCTTACCAAGTCTTAAAAGACGGGTTAAAATTGTTTGTTGTTGAATTGTTTAAGATAGTTGTAATTCACGTTATTTCTCATTAGATTTGGGAAGCCAACACTATGGAAAACTAATCAATTACATTTAACCTTTATTCATACTTTGCCCTTTTTTTGTGAAGTTACCTTAAATTACTTATTTATTTCAGGGCGAAATGTTCAATACTAAATAATGTAATTATTGTTATAGATTAGATAATGTATGATAATATTTCCTAAACTAAACAAACCTTTATTGGCGAAGTCCCTCCCCTTCCGGTGGACCTCCATGGGACCTTATTTCGGAACAATTATGTATTGAAGTCAATGGAGAGAGAAAGATTATCTTTCGATCCCGTTTGAATTGTGCCACGAATTACACATATGATGTTTGTCAATTTAAAAGATAATTTTGCAAGTCAAAAAAAAAAAAATGTGTCGTAAAACTGTGAAGTAACACATTTGTTTGTGTGAAACGCTCAATGAACTACATCTCTGGTCAACAACACACGTCACCAAGATGGCCGTCACTACTGTCTTGTCAACAAAACGATTGACTACCCTCACTATCACCACAATGAAACACGTCCTGAAGAATATCATGCAAAGCTGCCTGCCTGCCTTCCTTTGATTCTCTCTGAACTGCCTGGTCGTTTTAATGTTTAATGTCAACCATTTGTGCAGATAGCATGAAGTAGAGAAGATCGCTAGCGTTAGCGTTAGCATTTCTCCCCCGGGCTTAAATTGTGTATTATAGAATGATCACACCGGTGACAGTACTCTTCAAAGGGTTCACGAAATATGACTACTACTCTTACTGTTTAACATTTTGGGTTACTTAATGTTACTTCATGTTAAGGCTAATAAAAATGACAAGGCTGTAATGCTAACTAACGTGCTAGCTACTAGCTAGCATGATCCAGAGTACTCCTGGTCCTTTCATCAGACGGGAAGCGAAAGAACGAGCAAGACCCATTTCTGGTATAATAACAACCTGGTACTAAGCACACAGGCATCTTGTTAAAGTTATCTTATCTTAGCCAGCGCCATATAGATAGATTATATCTATATGGCGCTGATCTTAGATCGTAGTGGAGGAAAACAATTGTGACATCACTTACGCGACTCTGGGATTTGTAGTCTTTCTAGTTACGTATTTTTCATAGTCTTATATTTCAACAGTTTTACGACAAACTGTGACTTTTTTGACATGGAAATTATTTTTTAAGATTGACAAACATCATATGTGTAATTCATGGCACAATTCAAACGGGATCGAAAGATACGTTTTCTCTCTCCATTGACTTCAATACATTATTTTTTCGAAATAAGGTCCCATGGGGCGGAAGTAGATGGGCGTGACTTCGCCACTCTATTTCCGGGAGCCCCCGGATCATCCCTTGTGGATCAAGCCCCCAGGAAGTGCGCCGGACTCAGATGAAAATATTCGTGCTGGCCAAACGGCGGTACTACACTTCCTTTTGGTTGCCAGGCCCGGAAACACTTTTTCCCATTGACTTACATGGGGAAAGAGTGGTCTGTAAATCGTTGGATCATTTTTTTTAAA